AGGGGAAAGATCAGGAGGAGAGAGAGAGAGAGACATTTGTTCATCATAAAGTCACATACTGTAGCCAACTCATTAGATTTAAGGAGGCGTGACTGGTTGCTAATGAGGATAGTTTACACAGCTGCACTGAACAGAGAACGCCTGAAATGGACATTCCAGTTGTTGTGGTGCATATGGGTGCTGGAAGTAGTGTTGTAGTCTCATGCAATATATGGTCTCACTCTAGGCCAGTTCTAATAAAGTGTCTTTTCTACTCCTTTTTTAAAAGACCACTTAGGGGGAGGGCAAAAGCTTTAAACCTAAAAGTACGCTACAGTATATCTTTTATTCACTTGATTTTTAGCTCCATTTTGGTCTCAACCAACCCTTGAGGGGCTTTTTGGCTCACAAAACAGTGAGGCCTGGGAGCTTGAGGGTCCCAATATCTTTGCTGTTCCTAGGACTGTGCTCTTCTGGACAGTGATCTTTATATATTTATGTATAATATATATATAATATAATGATGGTAAATATGAGGTGAACAAATGTTGTACTTGGAAGTTAAACAGTTGTTGATGAGGTTAAAGTTTTGCATAATAAATTATTTTATGTCAACAATTTACCAATTTTACAGTTTTAACCTGATTTGTAAAAAAGATTCTATCTATCTATCTATCTATCTATCTATCTATCTATCTATCTATCTATCTATCTATCTATCTATCTATCTATCTATCTATCTATCTATCTATCTATCTATATTATTTTTCTTACAAATCTAGTTAAAACTGTAAAATTGGTAAATTGTTGACATAAAAAAATTATTATGCAAAACCTTAACCTCATCAACAATTTCCAAGTACAACATTTGTTCCCCTCATATTTAGCGTCACAGCTTTTTGCTGACACGAGCCTGTGTTTGTGTTCCTGTCAGCTCTGTGACATCACCGTATTGTAAGTCTGTCTTCATGACTGTCTGCTTCTTGTCACACAGAGAGTACGGTTGTCTTTCTTTTCTCTCTCGCTCTCTGTGTCGGAAACAACAAAGCCTGGAGACAAACAGCTCAGCTGCTCCTCATTTCAACAACAAACCTGCGTTTGAAGGTTACATCCTTCCCACACATCATCTGATTCTGTGGTTACATGTGAGCATGTGGACGGGGAGTGTAATGTTCATTCCTCTCTACACAGAAACAAAACAGAACTTGTTTTATTCACCAATAATTGAGTTTGGAGAAAATGCCATTTTAATGATTTGCTAACTGGACCCTAAAAATCAATTTATTTGCAGTGTCACAAAGCAAAAGTTTAAAGTTCAAGTGTTACGAATCTCATGTTTTAATATTGAAATTGTAGTAAATCTAGCGTGTCTCCTCTGTGTGATGACAGTTAATTTGAGTAAATGTACAGAAAGTCACGCGATACAGCAGTCTGTGAAACATGTTTGGTTTTGGGGATTGGATTATGTTTTAATGCAATCTTTGATGGTTTTTATCTCGAACTTGGACAGGTTTCATCATGCTGTGATGATATCTCTGAGCCATCATCACAAGATGATCTTCTTTAGAAAAATGTTCTTTGGTATTGATCTGAAGAAATAATGTCCTCCAATTGTCATATTTATTGTGCAAGGAAACCACTTCTTTGACCTTTTCATGTTCATATGTTTTACATTAGTTTGTCTGGTGCAGGGATTACAGCACAAAAACTGGAAAACTTTTTTCAGGCACTAATAATAAGTAAGCTGTTGTGTCCAGCGTCTGACTCTAATAGAATAAGAGACTCGGTCAATGAGGAGCACGATGGAAAAAAACTCTTTAGTTATGATAACTGACTGAGGTTAGATTATTATCTGGGCAAAACAACTGCTGCTCAACCTCACAAATGCTAGAATTTAATTTCTCTAACATGTGTATGCATTCATGGTAAAAAAGAGAGTATGTCCTCCTTCAGTTCTAAGGTTTTTGTGTATCAGGACATATTGAAAAAAAAATCACCTGGTCCTCACCAGGTTCTAACAATATTTAAACACAACCTCAGGTGAACAGCAACATTATAGATTACCCTGTATTGTTATTTATTTGACAAAAAACAAGCCAAAATACTAGATGCACCACACAATTCAGCAGTAAAACCACATTTAGCAGCAATAACTTGAATTAACTGTTTTCTGTATGACTGTATCATGGCTGTATGACTCTTCTTTTCAATGTTGCTTCAGTTCGTTGAGACTTGCAGGCATTCATTCGTACACAGCTCTTCATACAAGTTTCACCACAGCATATCAATCAGATGAGCTCTGGACTCTCACTGAGCCATTGCAAAACATTGATTTCAGTCTTTTCTTCCTGGCGACCGTTCTAAACAAACCATTCTTGTTCAGTCTTTTTTGTCAGCCTTTTTCTAGTTCTGCAGTCATGAACTCTAACGTTTAACATGGTAACTGTTGCATGTAGTTTTTTGTAGTTTCTCTGGCCTTGGGTTGAATTTGCAAGGATGTTCACTCTTAGAAAGCTTGATTATGTGAACAATCCATCTCACTGTAGCATGATGGACTTTGAAGTGTTTAAAATGGCTTTGTAATCTTTCCCAGCTTCAGGCCTCCAAAGTGCCCAAAGTTTACTATGCATGGTCACACTTGCTAATGGTCACTTAGTCAACTGCACTTAATCATCAGCATCTGGCTGCGTCATCCTGCTTCTGTAAGGAAGCACTGTGTCATGACATGTAAAACTTTAGAATTAAAAGAGGGTGCACTTGCTTTGTTACCATGACTGCATGTGGTATATGGGAGCTTTTTATCTTGAATGAGAAGCGATTGATTTCTGGGCATCTGTGTAAAAAACACTCAAACTGAGAAATAGGTAAAAAAGTATCCAGGTTTTGAACCGGTGGTTAACAAGCTGCTCTTTTCAGTAATTGTTAATGGTTCTTCACTACACTTTAAGCATATATCTTTGTCCTTAGAGGAAGGAACTATACGGTGTATTTGCTTTCCAGAGTCCCAAGCAGGTTAATCCAGTCATACTTGCAGTTTTGGTCCTCTAAACTATTATAAACATCTTGCACTATGACAATGCCTCAAACAGTCCAAATACATGCATGATAAGTTTATTGGTGAGTCTAAATTGTGCTTTATGTGTGAAGTGCTTTAAAGTGGTTTAAGTGTATACATATTTAGCCTTAAAAGCTGGAAAAAAGCAGGAAACTGGAGTGGCTCAAGATTGGGAGTTCGCCTTGTAATTGGAAGGTTGCCGTTCAAGCCCCGGCTTGGACAGTCTTGGTCATTGTGTCCTTGGGCAAGACACTTCACCCGTTGCCTACTGGTGGTGGTCAGAGGGCCCGGTGGCGCCAGTGTTCAGCAGCTTCACCTCTGTCAGTGTGCCCAAGGGTGGCTGTGGCTACAATGTAGCTTGTGGATGACTGGATGTGTAAAGTGCTTTGGGGTCCTTAGGAACTAGTAAAGTGCTATACAAATACAGGCCATTTACCATCTAAAAAAAGTGCACCTCTCATCCAAGAGGTTTTTTCGTGTCAAAAGGTTAGTGGGTCTCAGGTTGCAGTGGAGGTTCCCTTTGAAGGTTGTCCTGAGGGTTGCTGATCCATTGTTATTTATGTGATTTATCACATGATCCATGAGCTGCAAAAAAAGGCATGTGTCGTTGCCATCACTGTGAGAATCAGTGCGAGACCTTACCAACCCCATTATTTTGGTTACTTACATAAAAAACTACAGATAAAGGTTTTGTGCCACTGACAGTAGACTATGACTAAAGTGAACAGAAGATGTAACATCATTTTTCTTAGCCTGTTTTACTGTTTTGTTAATGAAGGCCATGTGTTAAGAATAACTTATTTGTTCTTAAACAGATCATTTGGATGCTTGTTTTTTATAGGTCAGCCCTCTTGAAATCAGATTGGGGCTGTATATGGCCTATGAACCGACAACAAATCATTCAGAATTAGATTTTTATTATTAGTTTAAAGCTTTATTTAACTTAATTAATTTTTTAAGTCTACTTTAGATTAGTTTGCTTTCAGATTAGATTCACATTAGATGCTTGTTTCTATGTAGCTTTTATTACTTGAAAAATGTCTATTTTAGTTTAGATGTTATTTATCTTCTTCGGTATTATGATGTTTGTGTGGTATTTGTCACCAGCAAGATATAAGAAGTTCAGAGCAGGCATTACAACAAAAACACAACAATTCATGTTAACTCAGTTTGAAAAAAAAAAAAAAATTAACAAATCGGACCACAGTGACAGAGACTAAAATTAAGGGCAATTCCTGTTTATTTTAATTTACATGAAGGCATTTGCGAGAGTATATGCATGTATGTTGATGTGCTCCCTGAGGGTGTTTTATTAAAACTAAACAAATCCTGAATAAATGTTCATGCCCATATTTGTAACCACCTATTCCAGCGTCATTGTGGTATTTTAAAATGCTGTATCATCAGCTTGAAACAGACTGACTTCCTCAGAGCGCCTTGCTCATCTTACAGCACGTTCATTGATAACCACTGGTTATCAACAAAGAAGATAACTTAAAATTCCTGGGTAATCATTCATGTGTGGATTCAAGTACCAAAAACTGATACATAATCTGTTTTAATATTACTGTTTACTATTTGTATTTTCAGTGTTGGCAAGAGTATTTATTTTTGGAGGAAATACGACTGAAAAAGTCGACTTCCCTTTTCGATGGCTCTTAGTGTCACGTCATGCATATTCAACCATGTATAAGTCGACTTGACTACATTTCTTTTTTATATTAAAAAGAAATGTCATTGTGGTGTCTAAAAATTAATCAGCCTGAAACGCACCGGCTTAAACGTTGCTTTTCTTTTTCAAAAAAACATAAAAATGAACTGATATTGTAAATAATTTATTATGTATTATTTATTTGCGAGTTTAGTCAATTATTTAATGATGTATTTGTTTATTTCAGTTTGACACTCTTGCTGAAAGTTTTTACAGCACCTCCTCAGCACCTTCACGTCCGGTGATTAGCGTCACGTGACGGGTAGTTGCCGAGTCGAGCTCAGCTGACAGGCTCCAGGGAAGTTAGCTTTCAGCTTGTGATGCGGTAAAGCAATCCAACTAAAAGCTGATATTTTAAAAAAAATGGAGCGGTACGGGTCGGACGTGGAGGTCGACGAGCAGAGGACTCCGCTGATTCGCCGGGGACGCGAAGAAGAAGTCCAGAAAGGTGAAAGAAAAAACCAAAGCATTCAGCTAACGATGCGGGCGCTTCGGTCGTTTTGTGCAGCATATGTTTGTAAGAAGCCGCGCTGATTAACTGGGAAGAGGCAGGAAAGACACATACTAACAACCTGAACAGCACAATTTTATCGTTAAAGTGGCTGGTATGTCTGACTGTAGTGTAAACCTTAAATTTAGAGTCGTCACTGACATTATAGAAGGGTTGATTTACTGAATTCACCAGCTGAGTGTGCATTTTTAGGTGTTCATGGTATTTTGCCATCTAAGACATTTAAGTTGGTCATCCACACCTGTGTGTAAACGCAGTTTATCTTTTAATGAGCATCGGTCACGAGGTTAGGCACGTCTGCCCTGGAATCGTATCATGAGACGTGTCTCTGATATGAGTCATGTCATACCTGCATACCCACTGTCAGCTCGAAGGAAAAACGGGTTTTAATTGAATGCAGTGGTTTAGCTCTGAGAAACTGTGCATGCAGTGAACTCACAGTCCTGACAGAACTGACAGGGCAAGTTTAGGTTTGCCAAATGTAAACAGGATTTACTGAAATAAGCTCTGTATCATTTTGGATAAGTTCAGTCGGCTGGATAAAGGAGACCCATTTTAACAGTGACAGTGGTGTGTACTATCAGTCGTATCAGCAGGTAGTTGTACTGTATGCAAACTAAATAGACTGATTAAATGGTGAAGTGTAGTTATGAAAATAAGGTTGTGCTACAAGTTTCAGAGCTTTAACGTTGTTGTTAGGTTTGGCTTGTCATTTACTCATTTTAAGGCTGATGGTTTAATCCCCGGTTGCTACATTCTTTCTGCCAAAGTATCCTTGGGGAACCTCCTGAATCCAGAGTAGCTTAGTTCTGAAAATAAGACTTAGAATTTTGAGATTTGATGGTATTATTAGAGTTGACTTACAGATGGGGCTGAGACAGGATACCAATGCAGAAATGTATCATGATGCATTATCAACATGCTGATGCTATAAATTGATATTATTTATTTAAAATAAACTAATTAGAATCATTACTTAAAGGATAACCAAATTCAATTATAATAATACAAAAGCACAGCATAAAAATATGAAAGGTTTTTAAGATTTGACTTATTAGGATTATGTTGTGTTCCTTTTGTTACACGGATGTTGTGATATTGTAGTATTAATACACAGACCATACGTGCAAACAGATGATTCACACTGCTGTCGTTTCTGTCCCTCAGCTCCAGCATGCGGTTCATCACGCTACGCCCTGGCATTGCTTTCCTCTTATGGCTTCTTTGTAGTCTATTCATTGAGGGTAAACCTCAGTGTGGCGATGGTGGACATGCTCAACAACACCCACCAATCAAACACCAACCACAGTGGCACAGTGTGCCCTCGTCATTCCAACCCTGCAGTTCGCAAACACAATCACACGGTGAGCCGAAATTTGACTGCAGCTATTTAATCCCACTTTAAAGTGTGTCCTCCATAGGTTTAGTCAATTTTAATAAAGTAACAATGTAGCTTGGGAGTATGTTTGCCACCTAAAGTCTTTCTAGGTCCTGAAGTTAGATTTAAATGCAAACCAGTTATATAGACCTGTTGGATTCTCAGTGGAAGTCAGTCTTTTGGTGTATAATTTCATGTACATGTAGAGGTAACAGTTTACTGATTTTACTGATAAGATTTTAAAGTTAAGGAGTTACTATTATTTGCAGGCTCCTTATTTTTATTCATGTCTGTCTGTAGGAAAATAACATACATTAGGCAGAATTATGTGAACGGGGAAACATAGTTGGCATCCAAGACTCAGTACTTTGTAAGTCTTGAATTGACATGATATCAATATCCTAAGCCCTGAAGTCCTAAAGTTTCTAATCTATCCCCTCATAGGCCAGTGTTTACAACTGGGACTCAGAAACACAGGGATGGATCCTGGGCTCTTTTTTCTACGGGTACATCCTGACACAAGTCCCTGGGGGCTACCTGGCTGGCCGCTTTGGACCAAAATGGCTGATGGGCTTTGGGATCCTGGGGACTGTAATTTTTACACTGCTTACCCCTGTGGCTGCTGACCTGGGTGCAGGCTACCTCATTGCTGTCAGAGTGCTGGAGGGGATTGGCGAGGTAGGGGATCAGAATGAAGATGTTGAAAACGGAGCTGAATGCATTTGTGCAGACCTGTTTTATGAACCATAATCACTATCTGTGCTGCAGCCATAAGATTTGCAAATGGCAATAAAATTCATGTGACAGTCCTGAAATGGTTTCCAGGAATAGTTAAGCTAATATTTGGCTATGCTTAAGTGTCATCTGTGCACTTCTCTTAATGTTCCTGATGTGTTTGTCCTCAGGGTGTTACATTCCCAGCAATGTACACCATGTGGGCAGCCTGGGCCCCACCGCTGGAGAGGAGCCGACTTCTCACCATTTCCTACATTGGTAAGACTGCAGCAAGAGCTAGACTGTCAACATAAAGACAAATTGCACTTTTAGCCTATTTTATGCATTTTTTTTTTTTAATTTCAGTCTACAGCTGATCACTTGAAAAATATTACATTAAGTAAAATATGAGCACTTGGCCACACTAACCTTTATCATGAATATTTAAGCTGCTGGGCTTAGGCTTCTCTTGCAGACCAGCATCTGTCCTTTAACTATTCATGTCCACCTGCCACTTTCTGTCTGTTCTTTCTTCAGTAGTTACACAAACCTACTTATTTTCTCTTCCCAGGAGCACAGCTGGGGACAGTAATAAGTCTTCCTGTATCTGGTGAAATCATCTTTTACCTGGACTGGACCTATGTCTTCTATATATTTGGTAATACATGTAAATTATACTATTGATAGTCGAGTTTAGGAAGATTTGTTTTAAAGGGAAAAAAAAAATTCTTAGTCTCACAGTTACTTTGTGCAGTAGTTGCTCTAAGACAGGGGTCAGCAACCTTTAACACCCAAAGAGCCATTTGGACCCGGTTTCTACGGAAAAGAAAACACTGGGAGCCGTAAATACTTTTTGACATCTAAAATGAAGATAACACTGTGTATATTGTTTTTTTTACCTTATGCTTTGTATAAACAGCTATAGTGTGTTGCTTATGAAATCCATGAAGTGCTACGGAGAAAATTACATTTTATCTATGTAATGAACACATTTTTAACCCTTAAAAAATAATAACAAAAAAGAAAGTCAACTAGTTGATGGTCTCTTTTAAATGAATTAAAAGCTGAACTTATCCATTAGCAAACAAAAACAGTGAGCCGTCATCCTTATATCGCCTTCTGGGCTATCGGAGTGTAGCGTGGCCTTGACCAGAATTTAGAAAATAATTGGAAAACAGCACTATGCTCCTAAAAAATTAAAAATAAATATTTTCAAAATATCTGCATATTTGTTTAACCTGGTTAACGTGCTTCGCGGGGCATGGCTCGCAGTGCCGCTGCAGGAGAGGCAGACGTACCTGAGTGTCATCCACAATCACGCCTCACCGGCTTGCTCTCTCTGCTGTTGCTTGTATGTGTCGGGCTGTGAGCTGGAAAGCTGCAGCCGGCTGTGCGTGTGAAAAGTGATCAATAAAGAGATGCTGAAGAGCATGTTCATGTAAACATCGTCGGGTCTGCCGTGATGTGTTTACAATCGGACTTCTGCTCCTGAACCTCTGCGCGCAGCGTCTGCTGTACGATAGGGGCTGTGCGAAGTCATTTTCATCTTTACGCAGGACTGTAAGCTGTCGTCTGTGAGGCGTGAGCGGTGTTTGTTTTTAACATAGTTCATGGTGGAGAATAGCTGCTCACATATGTATGTTGATCCAAAGATCGACACTCCACAAATTAGGCATACTGGTAGGCCGCTCTCGTCAGAAGTAAATACAAATGAATCTGCCCAGGCATCATTAAATGTTGTATTTTATTCAGATATTTTTCTTTTCTTACATTTCTCCATACTTGGCCTACTGAGGGCTGAAAGTCTCGGTAAATGCACAGCGTTTCAGCGGGTATACCGGCTTCCACGAGTGTGACGCTTATTTTGAGCGACGAAAAATAATAAAATATAACTTTATTCTGATCTTGAAATACAAAAATAATCTTCCAAGTTAGAACTACAAGTTTTAAAAAAGAACTAACACAAATAAAATCCACTTCAGTTAAATACTTATAATTTATTTTTCCAAACCATGCAGAGCCGCAATATAAGGACTAAAGAGCCGCAGGTTGTCGACCCCTGCTCTAAGAGGTGTTTTGTACAAATTTTACCTCAACCTGATTTCATATTTTGTTTATGTGAGTTATTTTTAACAGATTTGTCAGTTTGTTGTTATTATTTAGAATAGCATTCTTTGATAATGGTTGGTATTGTGAATTCGTCAGTGATCAATTTGCTTAAAAACTCTGTTGAATTCACATTGCAGGTAATTTTTTAAAAATCTTGTCTTATGTAAACATGCTACAATGCCTAACACATACTGTCAGCTATGCTTAAAGAGGTTCTTACGTATCAGTCTGAACTCAAATGACTTGTTTGTTGATTAGTCAGCACTTCTTCACAGTGCTGTTTAGCAGCTGTCTCTAGCATCTGTTCCTCTTTGACAGTGGAAATAACAATTTAGAAAATGGAAAGAAGAAAATGTATGCATAAATGGAAACAATGCAGAGGTCTGATTTTTTTTTTTTTACTTGGAGCTTTTACTTCTACCAAACATATGTCAGATGTAAAAGTCCCTTAAGGCAAGACAGAGATAATGAGATACTCAGACTTCAGTTCAGTTTCAGGAACAGACAACCAAACCACATTCCACATATTTGCTTACTGGATAAAGGCACTCATATGATGGAGGATTTATGCTGGATGAGTGTAGGTCACCAGTGTTGCTTTGTGGTTTGCTCAGGTGCTGTCGGACTGGTGTGGTTCGTCCTGTGGGCTTTTTTCGTCTTTGACAGCCCGAATACCCATCCACGAATATCAGAGCAGGAGAGACTCTATATCACCTCCTCGCTCAAGAATGAGGTAACAGTAGTAACATGATAACAGGTTGTAAATTTTAAAAAAGAAGCAAATTCTCTTACATTAAAGAGCAGCTTTAATATACACTTATTGCATTGCTCTTAGTGCTTGCTGCAGCGTGTTTGCAGGCATTTCCAGTCCAGTCCAGTTATCTGATTCTAATGTTACATAATATCAGTGTATTTCATCATTTTACTTTATCTGTTCTTGTCAAAATACCTGCCATGAATCTGCATTACTGGCACTGCGATGGTGAGCATGTAGCAGCTGGGAGCCCTAGTATGGCTGGATAGACTGCAGTGGCTTTAACCTCCTAGGACCTGGCGTCCACATATGTGGACATCACATTTTGGGTTATTTAGACCAAAATACTCAATTTTGCTCTGCAAGGGCCTGATATCCACCTACAAGGACATTATACTGCTACTGTTCTATCAAAATTTTAAACGAATATCCTCAGATGTGGCTCTTATTTTTCTTAAAAACAAAATAAGGAAAAAATTCATCTGGCATTCATCTGGCCCCAATATGCCCAAATATCAAAGAGAAATTAAAAATGCATGCTGTGGAAGAGTTCGGGTCTCAGGAGGTCAAAGCTTCATCAGCACAGCAGTGACATTTTTTGTGCAGCTTCATCTTTTCTTTAGTCTTTGGTGAACATCAAGGTTGTTGTTTCAGATGTGTTTTCGAAGAAATTCTAATGAACTTCTTCTGTTATTTCTTCATCCTACTTCTACATTCGCTTTGGTCCAGCTGTCCACCTCGGCGAGCAACATCCCCTGGCGATCCATAGTGACTTCGATGCCGCTGTTGGCCATTGTTGTGGCTCACTTCTCTTACAACTGGACCTTCTACACCCTCCTCACTCTGCTGCCAACCTACATGAGTGACATCCTGGGATTTAGCATACAGCAGGTGAGAAACCACATTAGTTTAAATCAATACCAGAGTGACTTTAAAGAGGACTTGCTCTCATTTTAAGCTGATTTTTATTAGATTTTTTTAAATTCTGGAACTCTAGAGTATGAGTCCTAGTAAAAAATGTATGTGTATTATTTATATGAAGCTCTTATGGAGCCTTTTGATCACAGGGATTGTAAATACATACACTAACCTCTATATCTGATACTTTAGCCATGCTTCATAGGAAAAGCCATAATTGCAATAGTAAATATTTAACAGAAAATATAGAAAAGCACGATAGAGCCCCTTTAAACTTGGGACAAAAGGTTAGTTTGTTTAGAACTCCAGGGAGATGAACCAGTAAAGTAGAAATGACTAACTGCAATACTAAAACATTCAACATCCTTGGTTAATCGTTCTCTTCTGAGAGTACATGAAAAAGTAAAAAATAAAGTCTCCCAGTAATGAAATGATTGTAATTGTCTGTTCCCAACAGAATGGTTTTCTGTCGGCTCTGCCTTACTTGGGATGTGCTGTGGTCGCTGTGCTGAGCGGCCAAATTGCCGACTATCTGCGAGAAACCCGCAAATACCGCACTGTCATTGTCAGGAAGTCCTTCACCCTCATTGGTAATTCATGACAGTCACTGCTGAATCCTCGACTTTTAACTGACTGCAGGCTCTTGACATCAAAAATATTACCAGTATTGCTACTTCACAGTTGTGTTGTTTCTGTAGGGATGATTGGGCCTGCAGTGTTCCTGGTGGCAGCAGGTTATACAGGCTGTGACTACACCTTGGCTGTGACCTTCCTCACCATCTCCTCTTCTCTCGGAGGAGTGTCGGCATCTGGCTTCAACATCAACCACCTTGACATTGCTCCTTCGTAAGAATAACACCTCAGAAAACTGTTGGATGCTACTACTACTAATAATAATGATAATACTTCAGTCATTTTAATTTTGAATCATTTTCAGTGTGAAGATGAGAGATTATGGTTATAAATGTGTAATTCAGTGTATCTTCAGGTTCAGATATCTTTGACATATTGAAGTTTCCCTCTGGCCTGTTGTTATCAAGATAATAATTTTAGGCATCAACATAGCCCATGAGATAATGGAGGATATTTCTTTTTATAAATATAATTACATTTCATTATCAGTGTAGCAACATTATGTACTACATAGTGCTTTTATCGGGTTTATTACTCAGGACTTAATGTTTTTATTTGTCTCTTTAGATATGCCGGTATTCTCCTAGGAATCACCAACACCTTTGCCACCATCCCTGGCATGGTGGGACCAGTCATAGCAAGAGCTCTGACTCAGCAGGTAAGAAACATGTTCAGCAACGATGTAACTAACCAGTCCTTTTTTTTGTTTGTTTGTTTCAAAAGTAAAGTCTGGAATCTAGATTAAACATACACATAGAGTACACAGTATCTTTATAGCTGCGAGTAAAGAGGTAGTGAATGGTAGCAGTAAACTTTATTGGATTTTAATATGTAGTGTGCTGCTGCTTCATACAAAATGAGGACACTCTGGGTGTCCTGACAGATGGTATCCTTACTTTAGCATAATGCTTCATTTCCTCTGTAATTGGTTTAGTAAGTACAGGATTAAGGTGTTTAAGGTTTGGCCAATAGGGGGCACCAATAGTCCTAGAAAGGTAACTAAGTGTTACATTAGACCGGAGAAGAGCATACTACATACCTGCATGCTATGTTCAGTCAGTTAATCCAAATTATATTAAATCTGTAATCGTATGTAATCATTTTACACCACGCACGTGACAATAAAACAGCTTAGTAGTGATATTTAATCAAATAAGGCCTTTTCTGTATGTTAACACTAACTGTGCTAATGGTCCTCTAGAACACCATCGAAGAATGGCAGATTGTTTTCTACATTGCTGCTGCCATCGACGTGTTTGGGGCAATATTCTACGCTGTGTTTGGTAAAGGAACAGTGCAGTCCTGGGCTGTCCACACATCTTTTTATCATGCAGACTGAGACATGAGACCCTTTCGGGTTAAATTTTCAGATTTGTCCGGTGGGCAAGTTTCAAACATGAGCTCATTTGGTGGGTAATTTAAGGGAGAGATGTGTTCTAGCTGTATTCATCATGGTCGGATAAGTGTGTAATTGCCATGATATCTTGGAAAGATGTTCCTTAATGTGGCTGTGGGTACATGGTCTTGAAACAGATGAGCCCAATGTCGGTGATTTTAAAAAAAGAAAGTTGTAGCTGTACCTACTCAAATATATTATTTCTCAGAGGAAGAAATCAACATATGCTTTCCCAAGAAGTATCAGAGGAAGCTTTCATTATGAAGCCAAACGGGCTTGCTGGTATGTGGAGGGGGGGCAATGAGATTAGTTAGTTATGACGCTACAGGCTGCATAACTAACTATAAAGGCCGGCTAATGTACATCAACTTTGATATTTACAGATAATAACGCATTTTAGATATTAACTCATTATAAATAAGCTATGGAAGAAAATCATTCCACTGTAGGTGGTTTTGTGGATTCAACCTGCTATACCCAATGGTTCCTTTTTACAGAAGGGACAGTTTTAAATGCCTCAGTAAATCCTTAAGTTTTACATCCAGTACACACCGATGCCCACCAAAAATTTTTTTTTTTTTAAATCTGTTACTTTGTAGCCCATAATGAAGTGCCAGTAGGCTTTATAGTGAATTTTAAAAATCCCAAACGTTTTAAATTCAGCATTATGACTATAGTGTACACTTTTTTCAGGGATGATGCCTTAAAAATGTCTCCAAGCATTTTATCCTTTTTTCTTAGAGAAATGTACTTTTTTTTTTTTAAAATGATTACTTGTAATATGGTGCAGTGTCTTGAGCAATGTTCCCTCTAAGCTGAGCGCGTGAGCAATCGCGCACTGCTGACATGGTCTCCCCACACAGAAAATCTGTGCTGCGCACAAAAAAAAAAAAAAAAAAATCCAACCTGAATTGGAATGAAAGTAAATACATGTATTTATTTTATTTTGCTGATTTTCTATGCGCGGAGACTGTCAGCAGTGCACGATTGCTCACGCGCTCAGCTTAGAGGGAACAGTGGTCTTGAGTTTTCAGGTTCACAAGCCAACTCTTATTTGAGATAGCAGGATTTAACGTCACACGGGTTATGATCTCTCCAGTACATCTTATTAATAAAGGGACTTGGCTTTAAATTATTCCCCGAATTCTCAGGTATCTTAAATCTTACAAGGATTTAAAAGGACGTTTGTTTACTTTTAAATTTTGATTAAGCTTATCACATGGAGGCATATTTCCTCAAGTTTTAAGTGTCAGTGTGGTGATCGCCTTCTTTCAGTGTCAATGACAGATTTATTTTTTTCATCATATTTGCACACATTATACATTATGTACAATTTTCTTTCATACATAATCTCAGTTAAGAGGTAAATCCAAGCTAAGCTGTAAGGTTAACATTTTGTCTTTGAAATTTCCGAATATTTATAATGTGCCTTACTGCTTAAGTTCAAAAGGGATCAGCAATGCAGGCTCATTCTTTTGAGTTCTTTTTGTTACTGACTTCATTTATTTCAGTTGTTATTGTGCTTTGTTTGCACAGAGAATAAAGGGACTAAATTGTACTAAGTAAAAATCATTGTAAAATTCCTCTTTCAAAACATTTGAGAGAAATGTTTTAAATTGCTGTGGTATAAAGACTGTGTAAATCAGATCTTGTGTTGGGGTATTATTTCTTTATCTCCTAGAACACCTTTCACATTAACTAAGAATAATGTGGTTTTACATACTTAATAATTTTAAGTAGCTCAAAGTTGCCTAAAAACGAGCCCTATGCGACTTAATCTGCTTTCTCTCCCATCATCTGCCTCCTTCTCAACCTGGCATCTTCCTGTCACACCAACCCTCTGCATGTCTTCCTTCACTGCACCCACAAACCTCTTCTATCCTCTACTTTTTATTTTTGCCTCTTACGTCATTTCCAAAACGCTCAGCCTGAGCTGTCCCTCTGATTATACTAATTTCTAATCCTCGTCGCTGGTAGCATCCTCTCAATCCAATTTCCTAAAAGACTCAAAAAACTTTGAGTTTTCAGCCTTGACTTGTTTTATTCTAAAGATTAGTAGATTACATTTGGGGACCAGTCATACATTTGTGAGGGTTTAGAGCAGGGAAAATGCCAGTTATACTCATGAGAAAAAACATGGGGGAAAAAATGGCAAACAAATTAGTCAGGTTAGTGCACAGGTTAACCGTTTTGTCTGCTTTTAACCCTCAATTCCTGCACCCATTAAGTCAATTCTCTATAGTCACACAATTGTCCTTAAAAGGTGATACTGCTTAACTAAATATACGTTTGCCTGGAAGTGAAAACATGGAAATATCATTTAACGCCTCTATGTTTAACTGCTATTTTTTAATGCCACTGCACTTTAACGTAATTGGCAGAGACGTTAAGCACATAACGTCTTTTAATCCAACTAGAGAGCGGCTGGAAAGGTGAGCCCTTCACCTGCTGCTTACTGCAAACCTTTAAGAGCGGAGCTGTCACTCATTCCTGATATCTCAAAGTCAACTAATGATAGCAAAGCAACAATAACGACAACTGCCTTGTTTATGTATACTATGCTAATTATTAATGAATGCAAAGTCTTGAATTTTAAATGCGCATTTTCCTTCCCTTGAAAAGCCACGATTAAGTTATGCGTCGGGAATTACCGATCATTGAAGCTTTCTGCAGACATTAAAGCGCATATTAACTCGCCGGTGTGTCCGACAATGGATGCTGATATTTGTGCCCTATAATAAACTCGTTTACGTTAACTCGTCGTTGTGATGCTGTGCAACGGCGGGTGCGCGCAATTACGCAACACCCCCGCCTGTCCTGCGAGCTATAACCGGATCAGCGTCTCCCCTCAGCCTATCCGCGCCTGCAGCCAACCTGACACCGGCCAGCTCTCAGGTACGACGCAGTACACGATATAATGCATGAAGTGGACTTTATTTTATCGATTTATTTTTTGATGCCAGCAGTCAATTATCTGGGCCTGTTTTTATTTTTAGCGGTTCTGTGTGTGGGGATACTGTGATGCAGGACAGGCGGCTGGCAGTTAATGCGCATCCAGGCTTCAGTAAGCGGGCAGATAACAGAACATGGCGGAGGGTTGACATTTCCGTTAATTCCTTCAGACATTAGATTTAGTGCAATACTTTAGATTTTTCTGAAGCTCCGCCCTCTGTTTCTATAGGTTTATTTTTTTAACCATCTTTTAGACGTGAAAGCGCACTGCGGCAGCCGCTGTGACGTTATCTGTGAAGGATGAGTTAAACGCGCGCATGTAGATGACTGTCCTTGCCCTAAGTTCACCTGAGCAAGAACATGTGGGGATACATATTACAGTTGGATTAAGCTACTTGACGTTCAGCCTGCTGCAGAGTGCATTCAGACTAAATATGTCACACGGGTTTGGTTAAACAAAACTTCGCAGTGCATGTGTGAAGCCTAATGTTCAGGGTCATCACCCCGTCACCCCCACAGAGTCTTTAACAGTACCTGTTTCCCTTTGCGTGAACCTGTGCACAGTGCACTGCAGTGTCTGAGTAATGGCTGCTACACTGTTAGTAGACTAGACCTGACAAAATGGTGGATTCTGGCTGGGAGGGAAGCTGTACTGAGTCTGTGGCTGTGAAAAAGAGGATGGTGCTGTGAAATATCATCTGAGCTACCTGGATGTGTTGGTGCACAGAGTGGTGAGAACAGGAGAAGCATGTGGATGTGAAAGAGGAGAGCAGGGGTGTGGATGGATGGAGGGATAGAGTAAGAGAGGGAGGAGTGTTGTGTGTTCTGTGCAGTTCACTGATATCCTCCCTAGTCCTCGGAGTCTTCTGAGATGCTAAAGAAAACACGTACTGACAATCAAGAGCCTTCTTCTTAGCAAATCTGAGCCCAAGTTACTTTCACTTTACTCCTTTGAGCAGTATTTTAATGTAATTACAAATTCTTCCTGCACCAGCTGAGATTCCCACTCCAGTATTTTTCCACAGAGCCATGCAATACCTTGAATTTCTGCCAGCATAATGTTGAACCCTATGGTGTTTAATTACACAAACAAGTCTGGGCTATTTTCCACCATCAAATAATATGTTATTCACTCACAACAAGCCCATTTCACTATATGTCAGTCACAACAGCTAGTTCATCAATCCATTGCTTCCTGACTGTAACTTAACCCTGGCTTTAGCAGACAGACTGCCTCGTGACTTCTGCCAGCTCCAGTCATCATGGGAAAGGAGAAACTCCACATCAACATCGTGGTGATTGGCCACGTGGACTCTGGCAAGTCCACCACCACAGGCCACCTTATCTACAAGTGCGGAGGCATTGACAAGAGAACCATCGAGAAGTTTGAAAAGGAAGCTGCTGAGGTAAGGAGACGGGAGAGGAAGACGACCTCTTTAACTGCCCGCCGCTCTTCACATATTAAGGCAGAAGCCATGCGGATCAAATAGAAATTGACACAATAGAAGCTGTTTGAGTTTTATATAATTTAAAAGAGATTAAATTGTTTGCAAAAAAGTCTTGAAGGTTAGTGTTGCTTGTGTCCCAGATGGGGAAAGGATCATTCAAGTACGCCTGGGTGCTGGACAAGCTGAAAGCTGAAAGGGAGCGTGGCATTACCATCGACATCTCACTGTGGAAGTTTGAAACTAGCAAATACTACGTGACTATCATCGATGCCCCGGGTCACAGGGACTTCATCAAGAACATGATCACCGGGACCTCTCAGGTGTGTAACATGAGGATGCTAGGCCACTATGAAGTATATTAGCTTCTGTATTGCATGTTTTAAGGTGCTTTTGCAAGCTTGTGTACACAAAGTGCATCACTTGCTATTACATTGAAGTATTTCAGTTGCCATTAGTGACTATCGTAGATGTTGAATTTGGTGTAGAAATTATTACAGTACATTACATTACAGTATTAGCATCCAATAGTGGTAGTATTTCAAAGTTACTGAGGAATCCTACTAAAGCTGCATCCACTGCATTTTTAGGCAGACTGTGCTGTGCTGATTGTGGCAGCTGGCGTGGGAGAGTTCGAAGCAGGTATTTCCAAGAATGGACAGACTCGGGAGCACGCCCTCCTGGCCTACACTCTCGGAGTGAAGCAGCTCATTGTGGGAATCAACAAGATGGACTCTACGGAGCCAAACTACAGCCAGAAACGTTACGAGGAGATCGTGAAGGAAGTGAGCACCTACATCAAGAAGATTGGATACAATCCTGACACGGTTGCCTTTGTACCCATTTCCGGCTGGAACGGAGACAACATGCTTGAGCCCAGCCCTAATGTAAGTACTAAAACAAAGCATAGTTATGCAAAAGCCAGGATGTGGCCCATCATTTGAATATTCATTTGTTTGACTGGTGCCGTGGATAGAAAGCTGTAGCTCAATACAGCTCTTGGACAAACTCAAACATGATCTGTCAAAGAATCTAAAGCGAACTTTTTCTCTAATTTCCCTTTCAGCAGCTATAGATATAAATAAGAAGTATTTTTCTTCAACATGAATCATAGTGGTGTTAGCTAGGGAAAAAATAAAATGCAACTTTCTGCTAGTTAAATTAACTTCTTCATAAGATCAAGACGCGTCATTCATTCATTTAAAAAGTGACAAAAAATGTCCTGGAGGTTAAGAAACCAATAAAATGTTCTGTTATTATTTTCATTAAGAATTGAAATTATTACTGTATAAAATTGTGTATTATTATTTTTTCCTTCTTTCCTCTAGATGACATGGTTTAAGGGATGGAAAATAAATAGGAAGGAAGGTAATGCGTCAGGAACCACACTACTGGAGGCTCTGGATGCCATCCAGCCCCCCACCCGTCCAACAGACAAACCTCTACGTCTTCCCCTGCAGGATGTCTACAAGATAGGAGGCAAGTGGTGTACAAATAACATATGGATAAACTTTTAAGATACTTTGGGAATAAAGGATAGTTATGACATTTCAAAACATGGAAAACCACATACCTTTTTCAGTAGAGAACTGAAACACTTTTAGTTTGCTTTACTCTGCTTTACTCTGACCTCTTTTGCAGGAATTGGAACAGTCCCCGTAGGTCGTGTGGAAACGGGATTACTGAAGCCTGGAATGGTGGTGACATTTGCCCCTGTCAATGTGACTACCGAGGTCAAGTCTGTAGAAATGCACCATGAGGCACTGAGCGAAGCCCTACCCGGTGACAACGTTGGCTTTAACGTCAAGAACGTATCTGTCAAGGATATTCGCCGTGGCAATGTTGCTGGTGACAGCAAGAATGATCCACCACAGGAAGCTGCCAACTTTACTGCTCAGGTAGATACAAGATTTGGATGTAAAAAATCCAATTATAGTAGAACGAGCACATGACTTAAATTCATCTCCATCTAATGTCAGAACTATTTATATTCTCAATCCTCAAGGCAGATAAGAATGTGTTCAAATAAGACGACAGCAGAAAAACTAGAAATAAAAAAAAAACAAAGCTTTTTTTGCGGTTATTAATAAGGCACTGATGTTGTCCCTTTGCTTTGCAGGTGATCATCCTCAACCACCCAGGCCAGATCAGCGCAGGTTATGCTCCCGTGCTGGACTGTCACACTGCTCACATTGCCTGCAAGTTTGCAGAGCTCAAAGAAAAGATTGATCGCCGCTCTGGCAAGAAGCTGGAGGACAACCCTAAATCCCTAAAATCTGGAGATGCTGCAATTGTAGATATGATCCCTGGCAAACCAATGTGTGTCGAGAGCTTCTCTGAATATCCTCCCCTTGGTGAGTTCAAGTAGTTCCTAGAGTTTCAAGAGCTTCCCTCATCAAAAGGCATCGTGGCTCCACTTTGAAGTCATGCGATATTTTATGATGAACTCAAACGTCTTTTATTCTTCTTCACTTTGCAGGTCGTTTTGCGGTGCGTGACATGCGTCAGACTGTGGCTGTCGGCGTGATTAAAGGTGTGGAGAAAAAGGTCTCCACTACTGGTAAAGTCACCAAGTCTGCCCAGAAGGCCCAGAGGAACAAATGAATGTTGTGCTACTCTGCCGACCCCAAGGTCTCCCAAGGCAGGACATCAGTCATCCAACTTCATCCTAGAATTGGCTACTTCAACTTAATAATTAAAGACTGGTTAATCATCACAATGCATCGCAAAAGCATTCGAAGGAAAGAAAAACACTTAGCTCTTTAGTCCTTGAGGCAGCACTCCTGGTTCCATTTCAGTGGTTAGATTACCATTAAGTACAGTGTAACATCAACATGTTTCAAATGTGTGCACTGTTGATTCGCGTCATGGAAACCCTATTCTGTGCTATTTAGACATCTAATAATTAGAGATACTGCAACCTATCACCTCTCTAGTTCAATGGAGTGTAGGTTCTGAACTCTTTACATGATATTATATGTTGTCCTGCTTTTAGTGTTTGTTTGCAACTATATGGCGCTCTCTAGGAGCAAGGAGTCATAACTGTGTCCTTCTGTGTAGTGGAGTAGTAGAGAATTTGTTCTGTTTAAGCTTTAAAAAGAACTTAAAACAAAAAAAGGTCAAAAATTGTCCTCCCAGGACTCTAGTCCACATGTGGACTCTTAAAGCACTTTGATTGGCATTTTGCTAATTTTGCACTTGCACTTGTAGTTTAAATTGGCATAAGCTATAGCACCTTATTGTAAGATGGCATGAGCCTCTTTGTAACATTAAACATATTTCAACCAAAATGTGCTGCCTTTAGCAGTTTTTCCCCCCTTCTGTGTAAAGCTGTGAGAGCAACAGTTGTGTTGAAGTTTAAGATTCTTAAAATATGACACAATATCTGCAATACACCTTTCTATCCACAAGATGTAGCTATTGATATAGAAATAAAAGAGAAACTAATAAGAATTTCAAACAAAGATCAAGTTTATAAAATTGCAGGCACAGTGCTGTGTCAGCACCTTAGAAGGCTATAGCCTCACCCTATGGCCAATAGCAATCATCCAGGAAGTAATAAGCCCAGCACTCACCGAGTGATTGTGCTATTACACAATACACACAGCATAGCGTACGTGAGGACTACATGCAATAGGACCTGCAGAAAAGCTTTCACTCACAGTTTACATCCGGTGAGTATACGTCAAAGGCTGAATCAACATAAGGGCAGGGTGTGGCAAAGTAAAGGGCTGTGTTCTCATACAATAAAAGGACACACTAAGGATTAATCTTGGCAGACAAGTTTCATTCATTACACTGTCATGGCTGGGAGAGGGAAACCGCGCAAGCTAAACAGTCTCGACGCTGAGTGCACTAAAGTAAGTTCTCCTGATTTAACAGAAGGGAAGCAGAGTGAAAAACAAACGAAACAGAAACCAAAGAAAGCGGAGCAGAAAAATCCAAACAAAGCTGAAAAAAAGTTTCCTCCTGACAGTGCCAGAGGAGAATCTCAACACAGCAGAGCGCAGAGAACTTGTGCGACCAGGACCAAGTCAACAGAACAACTTCCACTGGAGAAACTGGAGAAAAAGGAAATTCCAAAAACCACAAGAACAAAAAGATGTTCTGACAGGACAAAATCACAAGGACTTGAAGAGGAAGTAAAGCCAGAGACTCCAGAGGGTACCAGAAAAACAAACCCACGTGTTAGGAAAGCCAAACCATCAGAAATGACTGAGATACAGCTAAAAGATCCTACAGAGGATTCTGTGGACACTGTCAAAGCAAAAGCCTGTGGCACCAAGCCAAGATTAAGAGAACAACTTGATGCAAAGATGCAAAATGAGCAATATTTTGAGAAGATACCAAAGGCAGAGCAACAGACTCCAAAGAATACAAGAGAGGCTTCAGAACAGACCACAAAAACCGAAATATGTGCTGGCAAAGCCAAATCGCCACCAGCAAAAGCCTGTGGTGCCAAGCCAAAAGTAGAAGTACAATCTGCTGTGCAGGATACAAAGGTTGCACCAGGAAAATCTGAGGACTTAAAAAGGAAAGACATGACCGAAGAAAAAGCTTCAACAGATTATATCCTTAAGGAAACTCTGAAAAAAATGAAAATTAAAATGATTGACAAAACAAACGCAGCAGAAGTCATAAATGCGATAATACGAAATATAATCAATCATTTAAAACAGAATACATTAAGCTTTAATGACGTACAAGAACCCCTAAAAACAGGAAGCTACTATGAAAATCTAAAGGTAAGGTTTTACACTCTGAGTTCCCGCAATTAACTCAGGACAGGATTTGTGGTCCAATCTGATGTATGACTTGTATGTTGCACAGATTTGTAATCCCGATGAATTTGACGTCATGCTGCCCATCTTGGTTGATCGGGTGAAACTTGCACCATTTGGAACTGATGGCGCATTTTACAGTGTGGAATTAAAACGTGGCCAGAAGAATCTGGAAAGATTTCTAGAAAATGGCATTTTATCTGCTACCAAGATGCTCAATGAGTTCAGAGAAGAAGTGAAGAAATGTGTCAAGAATTTTACTGGTAAGTATCAAAGTTTAAGTTAGTTTTAGTGAAATTTCAATTTTACAGTAAAAAAGGGCCTGAGGAAGAATTCAATTTGACAAGGCCTTTAATTTAACATGCTTATTTATCTATGCTTTCTATATTGTAATGTATTAATATACAGCATCCAGTACCATAGAATGTCTGGAGTTAGGTTTTGTTTGTTCTTTCAGGATGGAAGGTGGACAAGAAGAAAAAAGGCTGTCCAGCAGTGACCCTGACCACACATGTACAATCAGTCCCAATTTCGCTGGATGTTGTTCTCTGCCTTATGGTTAAATCAAGCTGGCCGCCTTTCACAACCCAAGGCCTTAAAATAGAGTGCTGGCTCGGGCATAAAGTTAAGCAAGATTACAAGCGAGAGCCATATTATCTGGTCCCAAAATATGAGGGCAAGGGTACAGTGGAAAATGATGGTGTCCGTAATAAAGGTAAGTTTAACCTCTCTCAATTAGTGAATTAAAAAAAAAAAAATCATGTGATTGTGAGCCACTGAACGAAATAGATAAAGTTTTTGTTAACTGCAGTAGACGTGAGAAAGGACACAGTATTATAAGACAACTGAATCCTGGTTAGAATGTTTGTGGCTGACATTGTTGTCAGTGTTGTGCCAAAAAGTCATTTTCAATGTTTCTGTGCATTTTCATGTGTATTACCGTTGCTTACGTGGGTAAATAAAATGTAGTCAACAGGATTTATGAAAGGGTTATATATAAAGTAATGGCATAGGGTTTCAGAGGGTTTGGCAGTCATATCGTAGCAATGGTGTAGGTTTCCTACTGAAGCAGAAATCCCCTTTAACACTTGACCAATGTTACTACAGTTCAAAATGTGCAATTTTCATGATGGTATAAAAAGCTTAAAATTTCCCTGTTCTCTTCCGTCATCTCTAACATACAGATGTTTGGAGAGTTTCATTCTCTCACATTGAGAAGGCCATCCTGAAAAATCATGGATCAAAGAAGACTTGCTGTGAACAAAGTGGAGAAAACTGCTGCAGGTTAGAACAACATGCTTATTAAACCAAATTATTGCTTTCTGGTAGAAAATGAACACAATGGCAAAAAAATTATTCATCCAACCATGTGGTTTGTTGGTGTTTGGTACATGAGTCTATTAATTGGATAACTACTTGTCTTATTTCTTATTAATGAGCAATAAATAGACATTTAAAAGCGAAAACGTCTTTCAAAATGAACTGCTAATTAGTTTCCATTTTAGAAATTGCAATGTTTTGAAATCTGTTAACAACAACAGAAAGAACGAAACCCTTTCATTGTATTTATGCACCATATTAAATTAAATGTTTTAAAGAAAGTGTTTTCTTAAATGCAAAAATATATAAATACTTTCAAGTACAAGTTTTATCTCCTTGACGAGGTAGATTTGTTGTGCATTCATGTTTCCGAATTTTTGTGCATCTGTGTGTGCCTATGTGTTTGAGGTCAAGCAAAGAGCGAGTTTGTATCTGTAGGCCTTTAAAAGAGAATGTGGTGGCTGCAATGAAGGAAAGCGAGAATATCAGCATTCCATAGTTGATGGAAAGTTTGATGCATACTTTCTGTGCTGCTGAAAACAAATGTTATAATGGTGCAGGTGTTACTTAATAGTAATAATAATTCAGTGTCCAGAGTTTTATTGGCCCATGTACATTTTTATTGGCTTGTGAAAAAGCGTTTCTTCATATTCTCAAATATTAATGCAATTTAATTAACACATCATTTTATATCATTTCACCTTCAATCTGATAAATGTTGTGAAAGCCCTGAAATTAATCTGATCTAGTAAACCTCATGTCCCCCCTTTGCTTGCTGCAGGTATCGGTTTCATGTACGTCGTCAGCCTTCATTATTAAGCTGTATAATTTAAACATGGTATCAGGCTAAGTTAACAGTTTGTCTGCATGTTTTAATACAACTTCTGGAGGCTTACTGCAGATTCATGTTAAACTTTGCCAGCGTCATCATCATTGCAGCTTTTTGTGTTATCGATGCTTTTGTTGAAAACTGGGGGCCTCATAGGTTTAGTGTCGGCAGACTCTGTAGTCGTTCACTGCTCCTAAATACAGTTCTATTACAGGTTTGCTTTTTGTCACAAATGCAGCTGACATGCCCGCATTTCCATGGTGATAAGGGTGCGCTACAGAGTCGTGTGTTAAACAAAGCATCGAAGCAAAGATTTTTTTTTTATTATTCAATTGCTGGATGAATCATTGCAGCTCTATATTAAACACAAACACACCCCTATATCTCCATCTCTAGACACTTATATCCATCCATTTCTATGCACATATACCTATCTCTCAACTCAAGAAAGTAAGCAGACTGAAGAAAATGTTTGATATGTTTAAGGATTTCTTACCTAATGTCATGTTGTGAAAGTTTAATTATCCAAGGTCCCAAAATCTCTGTATCTTTCTCCTTGCACACAGAAAGTCCTGTCTGAAACTCCTAAAGCACCTGCTACATCTGCTGAAGGAAAGGGATTCTTCATTTGACAAGTTTTGCTCTTATCATGCCAAAACTACACTCTTACATGCCTGTTGCTTGCGAACTGATGACAACAAGTGGAGAGTCTCAGACCTGAGCGACTGTTTCCAGGTGCTCCTGCAGGACTTTGAAGGTTACTTGGAAAATGGTCAACTATGCAACTTTTTCATTCCAAGTCAGAACCTGTTCTCTGGTATTAGAGTTTGCAAAGGTCTGTCCGATGCTATCAGGGAGGAACGCCGGAAAGGCTTTCCTATTTTTAGGGAACAACTTAAAAATGGAAATTAATTAATGCACATCTGGACTCGTGATTTTTGTAAGTCCTATAGTGTCTTGATGCATGCTCAATCAAATGCTGCATCCAAATAAACAGAATCAACTTTTTTGGGAAGTCCCATTGTGTTTACAATGCCTCAAATAAGCACAGGCAATCCAGCAACTATGCAAATACAGTTTGTTTTACCGATTTCATTGCTTTAGTTATCTTATTTCCCCTTAATCATATCTGTACAGTTGAAACTTTAATTTGCAGCTTTGAGTTTTGATGTGATTTTGTTGTTTTCTGGTTTGCAACCCATTTGTAAGAAATGTTACTCGTAAATTGAGATTTAGGAGAACAATAACACAAGTACTAATATACTTTTCTTATTACATGTTTCTTTATTATATTCTGACTGAATCCTTAAATGTATCGCTTTATATGGTCAATGAAAAGGTGATGTCGTTTGCTGATTAATAGCTGACATATTAAAAACACATTACATTTGTAAGCTTTGTTAACTGACTTTTACTTTATTGTGAAGCCAGACGATACCTCTTATTTGTAAAATATATACACCTTAGAATGGCATCTTAACTGGGGCTGAAAAAAAACGTAGTGATTGAGGACAATAAACGCACAATTTTTCAGCTTGCTTACAACAAGTGCTGACAGGCTCAGTTTTTGCACTTCTATTTTAGATTTAGCCATCAGACTGGCATAACATAGCTGACTCATTAAGTTTTGAAATACACATTTTTATAGGAATGAACAGCAGTGTTTGTGCTTAGATTTTCTTATAAATCAGATCTCCAAGTAAACTGATGTGGTCAGCAGACTAAACATCTTGAGCAAGTAAAGCAGACAAGCTGTTGAGCTTAACGCAAACCATCACTTCCTGTTTGACAATTTTTTTTTCCAAAAGACCTGACTTTTCTCTTTTTCCATGATATTATTATTTCCCCCCCAAATTATGAGCATTTACCCCCAACAGTGTCCATGTAATTTTTGACCATTAATATAGGCAATTAAGAAAGTAGATTCAATTATTACCACAATTCTATGGTTAAGTTCTAAAGGAAGAAGCCATTAATGCATGCACAACATGTCATTTCTTTTTAAGATAACAATTTATTAAACTTTCCACAACCAAGAGATAACACAAAATATTCTGAATGATAACAGACAGAAAAGTTTATGGCAGAGAAAAATGTGCATTTTAAAGTCTTTTAAGAGAAGAAAACAATTAGGTGCAAGTTGCCAAATGATCATAGATATAATCCAGCAAGCAAACCTTTCAATAACAGAAAATAAAGAACTGAAATGCACATTAAAAAGAAATAACACAGGTAGATTGAGACCTTGCTCCAGCCTGTGGAGAAAAGGATAAGAAAATGAACATTCTCATAACCATGTGAAATACAGTAATTTGACTGTTAATTCCTGTCAGAGTAAGGTGGAGGAACATGGCGGGAAAACTTACATGGAGAGCTCTGTATTAGAACCCCCAGTTTTGGCCGCGGTCTGTTCCACCATTTCTTCTCCCTCCTCCTCGCCCCTGTCCTCCCCTTGGATTGGACATTTCCTTCTCTTTCTTGTGCTTTTGATACCTTTCTGCCATAAGCAACAGCTCCTCTGGGATATCCTGCAAAAGGATTTGTTAAGACTATCAGTTTTTAGCTATCAGTCTTTGATAAGGTTCCTTATTACTCCGTATCAAAAGGCTCATTATGATGGGAATCCTCCTGTGTGTTGGAGAAACTGTGGACACCAACGAGCACATCACACCCATATTATGTGGGACTGTTCTTTGCTACGGACCTACTGGAAAGACATTCATGGTACATTACAAGGCATTTTTGACTGTACATTCCCTTTGGACATGAAGACAATCTTTTTTGGTTGTATACCGCAGAACTGGTCTAAAAATGATACATGTCTGTTAAGAGCTTTACTTGTTGCAAGTAAGAAAGGGTCCTTGCAAGATATACTGACCTTGTCATTATGGTGGGAAATTACGCTAGAGATTTATAGGATGGAGGAGGTAACAGCTTATGTCAATGACAGGGTGGGTTGGTTCCATTTGTGTTGGGATAAGTGGGTCCTATATGCCAATACCCATAAGCCGAATCTTCTTTTCAAAGCTTGAAACCACCAACCTAGCTAACTGGTCACTCCCGACTGTTTTTCCTTTTTTTTCCCCTTCTCTTTTTTCTTTTTCTTTCATTTTGTTTTGTTTTTCCCTTGTAAATTGTGTTGATTAATGCCTGTAATCACCTTCGGGAAGTAATAGTTTAGAAATAAAGAATTAAAAAAAAAAAAAAAAAAAAAGACTATCAGTTTGTCAGCTGTATTATAATATAAGTACACATGCACAGAATTCTCAGGAATTATGTTACATTTTGAAGGAGAAAAAAAAAAGTCTACTCAATCAAAAGTGTATTTATGTCAACACAAAATATGTTTTTGCCAACCTGTCCTGCTCGCTCCATGATGGGAATTAGCTCAGGTGCCATTCTCCAGTTCTCTCTTGTCACCAGGGTCACAGCAGCACCTGAACGTCTGAAACGAAACATGCATCAACATCACAAGCTAGCACAAGCACAGCCTGGCAGTAAAGTCTGCATGCACACTCTCTTACCCTGCTCTGCCAGTGCGACCTACACGATGAACATATTCCTCGATGTTACGTGGGAAGTCAAAGTTGAAGACGTGTGTTACGTCATGGACATCCAACCCTCGAGATGCCAAATCTGTGGCCACGAGGATACGAACTCGACCTGGAAAAAGATACAACACTTAATCTGTCATAACTTCGATCCAACAGCCATTATTTGTGGTAGTCTTTAGTTTAAAATAAGACCACCAGCTACACACAAAAATGTGTTTCCATTTTCTCTGCTAGTGCCATGCAGACTATTTTTCAAAGCACTTTTCCCTTCACGTTACATACCGTTTTTAAAGTCCTTGAGAGCTTCTTCACGGTCACACTGTTCACGGTCACCATGGAGACTCTGCACAGCCAAACCTTGAAGGCACATATCACTGGACAGGTCATCAACTCTGATGTTGAACAAAAATGGAAACGAGCAAAACAAAGGACAAGCGATTAAAGTGGGTACCAATGCTGATGTGTGTTTATCCAAATGTAACAGTGGTGAACAGCCACAACTATGAACCAACTCCGCACTTACGCAAGCTTCTTGCCAACAAAGATGATTACTTTTTCCTCCGGTTGCATGTTTCTGATGAAGTCAAACAGATACGACTTTTTCTCCTCTTCGCGAACAATCAGCACTGTTTGCTGCACCGTGTTAACAGCCTGACAAGAATAGAAACACAGGAAGCATGTAAACAGAATCCAAACGGGCATACGCTATTTAGAACTTTAAAGTAAATAACATGTCTGCCAAGAATAAATGAACAAATTCTCAACTGTCAGACATGCAAAAGTCAGACAGAAACCATCTCTCCAGTATCCAGCTAACTTTTAGTTTTTAAGTCACTAAACAACCATGTGAAATACAGTAGTTTGATTGTTGTTAATTCATCCATCTTACCTATCCTAGCTGTATTTATTTATACTCCAGAAAGAACCATGAGGTCCAGTTCAAAACTAATGTTAACCATTCCACGGTCTAAACTTAAATCCTGTGGCAACAGAGGCTTCTCCATGGTAGGTCCCAGACTCTGGAATAGTCTGCCTCTAAATATTAGTGCTGTGCAAACCCTGGAACATTGTAAATCTTTACTGAGGATACATTTTTATGGACTGTCTTTAGCACATGTTGACCCAAGAATTTTGTTTTAACAGCCTTAGTCATTGTTGTTTTAGTTATTTGTATTGTATTATTCTTTCTTTTATATTTTTATTTCATCATTGTTGTGCATTTTACTTATTTCAATTGCATTTTACACTGAACAAAAATATAAACGCAACACTTTTGTTTTTGCTCCCATTCCCCATGGGATGGACGTAGAGACCTAAAATTCATTCCAGATACACAATATAACCATCCCTCCCAAACAGTGGTCACAAATCAGTCCAAATGTGTGGTAGTGGGCACATCTGCTATATTGAGATAATCCATCCCACCTCACAGGTGTGCCACATCAGGATGCTGATCTGACATCATGAGTAGTGCACAGGTGTACCTCAGACTGCCCACAACAAAAGGCCACCCTGGAATGTGCAGTTTTTTGCGCTATTGGGGGTCTGGGGACCCAGAACCGGTCAGTATCTGGTGTGACCACCATTTGCCTCATGCAGTGCAACACATCGTCGCATGGAGTCTATCAGATTGTCAATTGTGGCCTGTGGAATGTTGGTCCACTCCACTTCAATGGCTGTGCGAGGTTGTTGGATATTCGTGGGAACTGGTACACGCTGTCGTATACGCCGGTCAAGCACATCCCGAACATGCTCAATGGGTGACATGTCCGGTGAGTATGCTGGCCATGCAAGAACTGGGACATTCTCAGCTGCCATCTGCCCTGAACAATGTGAACCATGATTCATCCGTGAAGCGCACACCTCTCCAACGTGCCAGACGCCATCGAATGTGAGCATTTGCCCACACAAGTCTGTTACGGCGACGAGCTGGAGTCAGGTCAAGACCCCGATGAGGACGACGGGCATGCAGTTGAGCGTCCCTGAGACGGTTTCTGACAGTTTGTGCAGAAATTGTTTGGTTGTGTAAACCAATTGTTCCAGCAGCTGTCTGGGTGGCTGGTCTCAGACGATCTTGGAGGTGAACCAGCCGGATGTGGAGGTCTTGGGCTGGTGTGGTTACACGAGGTCTGCGGTTGTGAGGCCGGTTGGATGTGCTGCCATATTCTCGGAAACGCCTGTGGAGACGGCTTATGGTTGAGAAATGAACATTCAATGCCCGGGCGACAGATCTGGTTGACATTCCTGCTGTCAGCATGCCAATTGCACGCTCCCTCATTGCTTGTGGCATCTGTGGCATTTTGCTGTGAGACAAAACTGCACATTCCAGGGTGGCCTTTTGTTGTGGGCAGTCTGAGGTACACCTGTGCACTACTCATGATGTCAGATCAGCATCCTGACGTGGCACACCTGTGAGGTGGGATGGATTATCTCAATATGGCAGATGTGCCCACTACCACACATTTGGACTGATTTGTGACCACTGTTTGGGAGGGATGGTTATATTGTGTATCTGGAATGAATTTTAGGTCTCTACGTCCATCCCATGGGGAATGGGAGCAAAAACAAAAGTGTTGCGTTTATATTTTTGTTCAGTGTAGTTTGAAGGATGAGCTGTTGTAAATGTGCCATATAAATAAACTTATACTTGACGACCTTATGGTGGGACAATATACAAAAAAAATAGTCAGGAGATTTAAATCACTGATTGGATTCATTTCTACTTACAGCCAAGTCCAGGGTGCCCACATAAACCATCATGGGATTCTTTAGGTAGGATTTGGCCAGTCGTCTCACACCTGTGGGCCAAGTTGCACTGAAACATGAGAAATAACGGGCAT